TAACGGATCTATTTGGACTTTAGGTGCATATTTTGGAAAGGTTTGAAACTATGAGTGGCACAAAATGAAAATTTGAATAAAGTCTGCAAAAATTGAAAAGGTTTGGAACCGCTACTACAATTTTCCCCAAGAACTATATTTCTCCAATTTTTAAATGTATCATCTAAAAGAAAAAATGGCAAAGTGTTCAAGTGGATTGTTAGGACATAATTAACAAAATTACTTTCTACCCTGGCAATAGACGTGTTTAATCTATTTATTGTTTGATAGAAATTAAAACTTAAATTTTTATCTAAATCAAAGTCAACAATTAATTTGAATCACACATTTCATGGAATTCACAGTATTTCAAATACACATTTCATCAACTTTTATCAAAAATCGATAAAAATCTAATTTTAATTTTTTTGATGTAAATCTTTAAGGATTGTGTATGTGAAAGAGAATAGTCAAAAAAAATCGAACGATATCCATCAAAGAGCGGGGCTAACTAGATGATTGTCAACTGGCTCTAAAAATTGTACAGCCTTTAGAGTACCCCGAACGGATGGGAAGAAAGGTAAATCTCTCGTAGGAGTTTAGACATTATTTCTGATCATCCTCTCGTACCAACAATTGATTGTTGTTTTGGTAAACTACTGTATAACTTCTAACTATTGTTATGAAATTCTAAAGCTCATTTTAAAATTTAACTCACTTCAAACGTCTATATCAAGTTGAATTATAAATCTTAATTGTCTTAGAATGCAATTCTAGTTCCGTTCATGATCCCTCCCTCTCTTCCCAAAGCAAAGTCGAATCCATGTTGCTTATGAGGATTTGGTATTCTACTATTATTTTTAGCTTTCCAAAAAGAAGAGCCATGCCAGCCAACCAAGAACCAACTATCACTTTCATATTATTTATTACTACTTGTTCATTTTTAACATTTTACATGTACGACTCCAATCAATTGCTTCTCGTAAAACGAGCAAATTCCACACGTCAACGCTTGATTCCTTGAATTTCTTGACAATATTATACTTCGGCTTTGGCGAGGATTAAATATAAAATTTTAATCTATAATTAATTTTAATCTGAGATATTAAGAGAAATCTATATCACCTTGAGCTCAGAATATATTTGATACTTAATATTAAATACGACATAATAATATAATATTTAAATATTAAGCCATTTTTATTTTAATTCATTTGAAATGTGTAGAAGTTATCTTTTACACAAGAAGAACCAACCCAACGTAGAGTTGAAATCTGCTGCTGAAAATCGACCGTCCAATTTGTTGTCAACCCTATAATACATTGACACATCGATTTAATTTAACATGTCGAGTTTTTCTCTTACTGTGACTTATACTTAAAAATATGTGTAAAATAATGTCTCGATGAATCATTGGTAAATAGCAAGTTGGATAATTAACTATGTGTAGCAGATCTCAACTAATACATACCATTTTCACCTCTTATTAGGGTAAATTACAGTACTGGTCCCTGATCTTTGACTCTCATTGCATTTTGTAACCCAACATTTATTTTGTGATATTTCTATCCTCAACCTTAGAGTAATAATCAGGATTCATCCTAAAAGACAATTTTTACACTATTATTTGAGTAACATGATAAAATATTATTAAAAGAATAATTTTGTAATTGTATTTAAGAAACACACCATAAACACAAAGAATGAAAATTAAAGAATGTCTTCCACTCCACTATAAACTATCACTACAAGTGCGACCGAGTTATCGCCACAGTCAATCTACAATCCTTTTTAAATGATATAATTTTTTCATGTGTTAACCTTATTGGATTCAGTTCAACGAGACATATATAATTGTGCAATTTACTATTTTAACAACTGAAAGTGCTGAATATTTCCTCAACTTGTTTTACGGTCAAAACTTGCATATGATGATTCTCTCTCAATTCTCTACATTTTTGAGTGATCTGAAATCCTAATTAACTTGATTTTTCATGTACAACATGCAAACAAACTCATTACGTTCTCCAATTCTATTGAAAATTCTTCTCATAAATTCCAATTTAGACGGATTTTCGAATTTTGTCGCTCTATCTTTATATAGTCTCTTATAATTGCTTTTTCGATGAAACATGTTCTAACGACTTATAGAAGTTATCATAATCATCAATTTGCAATATTAAAGTTGAAAGATTCAAAGTTTTAATGAAGTTACGCAAGTTTTTGACATTTTCAAACTACCAATTTTGCCCCTTCTTACATTTTAACCAAAGGTTTATTAATTAAGCATTTGGTATTAGGAAATTGTAAAGCAAAGCAGGGGGGAGATTCTCCGTGATTACAAGTCCCGAGGCCAACTAATAATTACATAAGAATAAGAGAAAGGCACAGTCCATAGACAGATTAGCAACAGTATTAAATTGATTTCCTCTTTCAAAAGGGGTTGTCAGTCAACACTAAATGGGAATGAAAATCTAAGCCGTCGGATTAGATTACTTTTTCTATGAGATACTATTAAGATCAAGTATCTGTCAACTTGACTGTGGAGAAGCTGGAAGTATAATTCTCTTGCCAGCTAAATAAAAGTTTCAGTCACACACGATTTGGATCTTATTTGGTAGGTAAACATGAACGGTACTGTTATTATGGTACAGTGGTTGAACTCGACGTTAAAAGCGTGTCTGTATGCCCGTACTCTAATGTGCTACCATACGAATAAAGCCAGCGTGCCAGATAAATTTTGCCCACCTAGATAACCGATCCTCACATTGACATGGGTCCCGTGCCGAACTCATGTAAATAAAAAATGTAAAAAATGACACCCCACCAACGTCGACTGTGAGTGCAGGTCAGCTGGAGTGTCAATATAATTCTGACACCCCGACATGATTGACTACCATACTAGATGAAAGTGTGTTGCACATTTTAAGAGGAAGAGGGTGCGGTCCGTCTAGCGTTCATTTGGTATAAATTAAAATCTATTAAAAATTTCAAATTTATAAATCAACAATTAATTTTATTTACATATTTTATAGATTCAAAACTTTTCAAGTACACACACTTTTCATCAATTTTTATTAAAATACTAAAAGTCTGATTTCAATTTACATAAAAAATTATGAATCCCATAAAATATGTGGTTAAATCAATTGTTAATTTTGTTTGAATTTTTTTTAGTAGATTTTAGTATAGACCAAACAGAGATATTGGTTAAGTTTATAAAGAGAATTGTATCAAATCGAGAATTAGTAAGAATCTCGTAAGTGAAATAATGATTCTAAATGTTAGAATTGAACCAAACCGCTTAGTTTCGTTTGCTCCAGGTCGGTTCATAAAAAAAATTCATTTGAATTCTTGAACAAATGCTACAATTTTTGAAATATTCATTGCATGAATTTCAGCAAGACATGTTAATTCTTCTCTTAGAAATAAAGAACATTGGACACGATTTGCGTTTAACGAGTAATTCTTCGAGTGACTCCAGCCTCAATACTTGAAGATAAATAAAAGTTTTGTTCTCTATGCTTTTTCGATTTCGAGTGCTAGAATTACAAACCATTCAATTCTTGATTCTTGTAATAAAACTATTTAAAACTTAGATAGAGTTGATTGAATAGAGCGATTTGGTTTGATTTGATCTAGTATTTTTGTTTAAATAAATAAGAATAAAACAAAATAAAATTTATCAATATAAAAGGCTCAAAAGTATTTAATGAATATATCAATGGATGTTTAATTCATTAAATACTTTTGAGCCCTTTATATTGATAAATTTTATTTTGTTTTATTCTTGTTTATTTAAGTAAATATGCATGAAGTTAAAAATGTAATATATAATTATTTTTTCCTTTTTCCTTTTTTTTTTTGTTGTAAAGTGGATAGATATATAAGAAGAGTAATTATAATCACACTACACTTTTTATCTCTTGCACTACATTTTTATTGTATTTAAGGTTCTTACTCTTTGATCATTATAGTACTTATGTTCGTAACGATTCTTATGTCATTATTATCCTCAAACTTTCAATTAGTTAACATATTTTATTTTTTATAACAGTTTTATGTTCAAAAATCTATTGAAATAGTGTAAAACAATTTATTTTTCAATCATATTTTTTTTAAAAAAATAAATAAATAAGTTCAAAAAAATATTTTCCCCCTTATTTCAAAGAATGAAAACAAATTATTTTATATAAATTATCATCAAAGACAAGACGTACTAATTAATCAAAAGTTGAAAATAAGAATTCGACGAAAAAAATTAAGAAAATAATTGCTATAATAAGCAAAAATAGAAGAGTTTAATTACTATTAAAATGTAACAAATAAAAATTATTATGTCCATATAATCACCCATAAAAAAATGATGTATAAAAAAAGAGGAAATTTCACAAAATGTCTATTTTTACCTAGTTATTTGTAAAAATGTTCATCATTGCAAAAATGTCTAATTTGGAAGAATTTAGACCAAAATACCTTTATTAACAATTTATAATTTCACACTAAGACAAAAAAATGGACATTTTTACAATATTGTTATTGACCAATAAAATTTTGAAACATAACATGTCATATTTATTTCAAAAAGTATACATGTCAAATCACAATAAATACTATGTTTTTCATTGATTCGGAAATGTCGAGAACGACATTTTTAAATGTAGAGAAATGTTATGTTCAAAATGAAATGTCATTCTACACAAATGAAACAGTGTTCAAATATCGAGAATGACATATGAAATGTTGAGAAATATTATTTTAATATAACTTCTCATAAAAGTCACTTTTCAAACTTCGTGACAAATTGATAAAAAAAAATCAAATGTCATGAACGACATTTAAAATGTCGAGAATACCATTTCAAAATATAACTTTTCATTAAGGAAATGATAGATAAATTGACATTAAATTCAAATGAGTGGATACTTTTGAACTCATACACTTAAAATTGAATATTCTTAAAAAATTTTCATAAAAAAAAATAGTGGTTTCCAATATTTTTAGCAGGTAGCAATGCCGGTGGTTACTGGTTTTAATCATCAGGGCTCACTTTTTGACGCAGAGGCGTGGGTATGGGTGCAACGCCTTTCTCGTTAAGCTTTCGTTTTCACTCCTAATCAAATCACCCATTCGCTCTTTCTAAACTCTGTTTTCTCTCTCCATCTTTACTGCTTTCTAGACAGTTGAACTTCGAACAACCAACCCACAGCCAAAATTCAAGAAAATAAAGCCTTTTTTCTTGTGGGTTTTTCCTCACAAGTACGGTAGAGAAACTGAAACAGACAATCTGAAAATGGGACCTTTCCTTTTTTGCCACTTTTAGTTTATGTTTTCAGAGTATTCACTGTGTTCATCTGACAAGGGTTTTGAATCAGTGTAGTATTTATGATGATGAAATTGATTTTTATTTACTGAACTTGTCTTTTCTTGGGAAATTATGGCCATTGATTCTTTAACCTTTGAAGGACTGCTTAAATTTCAGTGGAATTTTTTTTGGAATGGCTCTGCATTTCGTTTTGCTTCAGCCGAGCCATAAAGGTCCCTTTTCAGCCGTCTCTGAGTGGCTAATTCAACCGTTTCAGAATTTCAGTTTAATCTACTGTTCTTAGTGTCTATTATCTGATTGATTTCAAATTTTTACCGATTTTTGGACCCTCCTGTTTTACGTTAGAGTAAGAATAAAAATTTGGGGCTCTTTATAGTGATTTCTAATTTGCTTTTTCATTAGGGCGTTTCTTTATCCTCCATAGAAAACTTCAAGAAAGAGTTTTTCTTGTTCTTCTGGGGGTTGTTTCTCAATTCTTGTTGATGGACATGGCCGGAGAGGATGCTAGTATCGAGCCGAAAATTATGTCTTCACAATGGCAATTGAATATAAATAATTTAACAAATACATCCATTGTAATCAATCCCACAAGCAATTCAAATGTCGAGTCTTCGGCTTGTTCCTCCAACTCCATGGCAGATTCGATTTGTCCTCCCATTTGGAACCAGCCCGTCAGTGGGCAGAGTCTAGGCTATTGTGACATGATTGTCGAAAATAATACTAGCACTTCAAACACATTGGGTAACGGGACTAGCAGTATTATTCCTGTAAGACCTAATGCAATCCTGAGAGAGAGTACGTTTTTACGGGACTTTCCAGTGATACTTCCTTCGAGCTTGCCTCACTTACCGGCTGATTCAGGTTTCATCGAAAGAGCTGCCAGGTTTTCTTGCTTCGGTGGAGGAAATTTTGTTGATATGATGAACCCTTTTAGAATGTCTGAATCTCTGAATCCTTACACTCGAGATTTGGCATCGGAAGGGCCACTGGAGGTTCTTGCAGGTAAGGGATCCAAATCACTGCCAGTTATGCAAACTCAGACTCATGAAATGAATGCGATTGAACGTTCCATGGAGGTTCCTCTACCAGTTGAGCAAGGAACTGAAGGGAGCTCAATCAAGAATGACAAAATGATCGAGCACTTTCCTAGTTCTCACGATGAAGCGATTTTTGGCATTGGTTTGTCGGCTCACGAGTTTGCTGAGGCTGAATTTAGTGGCAGCGGCATTCAAGGGGAGTTGGAGGATGACGCTGGGGAATCTTCTGCTAAAGAACTTGGCTCTAAGAAAAGGAAGAGAACCGGACAGGTTGGACACGGACCGGTTGCACATTCATCCTATCAATTTGGTGCTTCATATCCCTTATGTCCACTATTAACCTTTATTTACTGATCTCTCTCGGTTTTTGTCTCAGAGTAACAACGGAAGCAGACAGGCGGCAAATGAAACTGCGATGGACCATGCTGAAATTCAACAGCAGGGGTATCAAAATCGAGCATCGAGTAAGCCTTGTGGCAAACATGATAAGCCGGGATCTCAAGGGTCAGATCTACCAAAAGAAGAATACATACATGTTAGAGCTAGAAGAGGTCAAGCAATAAATAGCCACAGTCTTGCAGAAAGAGTGAGATATTTGTGAGAGTTTATTAATAGGCTGCAGTAAGTAACATTTTCTCTGGTTTGGAGTTAAGACAATTGATTTCTGTCGTAGGTAAGGAGGGAAAAAATTAGTGAAAGAATGAAGTTTCTTCAGGATCTTGTACCTGGTTGCAGCAAGGTTCGTTAAATTAATGGCTGATTATATGCTTACTTTCATTTGTTTCTCCACTTTAGTTCATTTAATAAAAATCAGTTTTGTTTTTGCAGGTCACTGGAAAAGCAGTTATGCTAGATGAAATTATTAATTACGTACAATCACTTCAACGACAGGTTGAGGTACGCAAATTGTGAATTAATGCTTCATTTTTTCTCCTGTTTTCTGAATCATATGGCATAAGTAACAAGGTTTTGGGTACCATTCATAGTCTATTTTTCTTGGAAATTTTGTCAGGGGATCTTGAATAGGTGAACTGTCTCCCTATTCATGCATCTTCTAAGAAACCAGAGATAAATCCAAGCCTTATCTTTCGTTTTCACAACGTAACTTGCCAAGCTGATTCTTATCCCTGCCCACAAAGGGGGGGGGGGGGGGGGGGA